TGATCTCAATCTGGAGGGCCCACAGCCAAACCTAGGCAACCAAGCCTGTGGCGCCCTTCCTTCCCTGTGCTACCTGACGCCGCCCTTCAGCCTGGAGAGCACCCCGCCCCGCCCCGACACCAGGACATCCGGCAGCAGCTGCTCGCCTTGCTGGTATTTCATTAACGGCCGCAAGGCGTTGAGCTTCCTCCCTTCCTCGTCTTCCTCGTCATCCTCGTCGTCCTGCAGCCCTTGGGCGGCAGCCCAGCCCGGCCCAGCCCGGCCCAGCCCAGCCAAGCCTAGCCCAGCCCAGCCTAACCCCCCAGCCCGCAGGAGGACACTTAAGGCTGATTTCCCGGGGTCGCTCGAATGAAGATTGACAACAACGAGGCCTGGGGGAAGCGGCGAGCGGCAGTGTACACACTCCTCGCCTTGGGCGCCCTCCTTCTGGTGCGCGCCGCGCGGTCTCTTGTTCTTAACGGGGTGATAGCGTGACGGAGCGGGGCCGCGGGGGCGGCGGGGCCGCGCGCCGTCGCCGCGGTCGTTAATGTGAGTGGTGTCATCAGATAGGACACGCCGGTGTCATTGTGATGGTTATTATTTAAGATTTATCTAGCTCGCTCTTGGCGGCCGGCGGGGCGGCGGTCGGGTACCATGGAGCCAGGGGCAGCCAGGGGTGGGGGAGACCGCCGCTTGGCCGCAGCGCCGCAGCAGCAGCTGCCCCCCCCCATCCATCCCCCGGTGCTCACCTTGCCGCGGGCGGCGACGCGACGCGGTGGTGCAATCGTCCTGCAGAACGGTATCACAGTGCTTTCGCAGTGCTGGCGACATGTCACGTCTCGTCTCGCGTCTCCCCTCGCTGCGGCCTCGCCGGCCTCGCCCTCGAGGAGGTTGCCAGCGCTGCGGGCGCCTCGGCGTGGCGCCTCGCCGTGGCGCCGTGGCCTCGGCGGCACGTCCGGGCCGGGCCGGGCCAGGCCTCGCCGACGCCGTCCTCGTAAGAAGTAACAAGGGCATCCCGCGGCCCAATTATGTGCCCCGGGCGTGTACCGCGCCGAGCGGCGCCGAGCTATGCGGCCCCACGTGCACGACGACGGCTGCCACGACGTGCAATAAGCCGCAAGACGTCCCAGAGACACACTCTCAAAATTTTGGCTGTCCCGACGACAGTCACAATGCCAAGTTCGGAGCCATCGTGAGGTGGATTCGAGCCCCAATTCAGGGAAAGCGAGATCAAAACGTGCTCGCCTCTCGTGCGGCGAACTGGTCCCTGCGTGCCATGGTAGGGGCGGACGGGCTGGACCGTTTTCGTCTGTTCGGCACGCGCAGCAGCAGACTGCTTCCGAGAGTCGTTTTCGTCGCTCTGTCTCGCTCGGACCTGTACGGGACCCCCATGAGTGCGAGCGGGACGCTCGGCACGAGCAGGAGCAGCGCCAGCACGGCGCGCCGCAGCTCTAATGCCCGGCCAGCCCAAGGGCCGCCCCGCACAGTGGGCCAGAAGACCGTGGAGGCGGACAAAATTCTAGACGCGTTTTGAGCTCCAGGGTCGCTAAATGAGACCGAATCGAACGTGTGACCCCATCAATGGATTGCTCTTCGAACGAGGAATCCATTGGTGGGGTCACACGTTCGGTTCTGGTCCCATTTAGTGACTCTGGAGCTCAAAACGCGTCTAGAATTTTGTCCGACTCCACCGGTCTTCTGGCCCACTGTGCGCCGCCCCATCGGCCCCATCTCGCCATCTCGCGGATCAGCTGTCCGCATTACTTTACCGCCGAGTTTATTCAAGATGATAAACCCCGTCTCCCTGCTCAGTGCTCGCGAGTGGCGCGCCCCGCCGCGGGCTGCTGGCTCATTCCGAGCTCTGTCTCTCTCGCGCCGCCACCACCACCTACCGCCAGAGAGCGAGCGAGAGAGACAGAGCGACGAAAGCTCCGCGTTGGGAAGCAGCCTGCTGCTGGCGCTCGCCGTGCTAGCGAGGCTGTGGTGGCCGCGGCGGCCGTGGTTGTGGTGCTGGCCGTAGTGGCCTTGGTGGCGGCGGCCGTGGAGGTGGCGCGGTGCTCAAGGTCGTCGATGGGGAGGCCCAGGCCTTGCCCAGCCCCTCGGATGCGTCCACAGCCGCCGCCGCGGATCGAGTTCCAGGGCTCCTGGGATTAATAACGGAAAGCAGAGGGTTGCAGCGTGTCCTGGTGGTCCCGGAGGTCCGGGCAGGTCCTGCAGTACATGTAAACTGACGGACGCAGGCACGAGTCGGCCGGCCAGTCTTGGCCAGTCTGCCGGTGACACTTTATTGCTTGGCTGAGCCGGAGTCCTCTGCGTCCTCGACGGCAGCAGTCTGATTCCGAGCGGGACTCTCTATCTCTCTCGCACTCGTGGGGCGTCCTGTGCGTTGGTGCGAGAGACACAGGCCGATCTACTCCCCCTCCCTCCCCCTCTCTCTTCCTCCACCCCAGCAGCAGAGAAAAGCACACTTTGTCGCAGACCGAACCGAGTCCGCGCGGAGAATGCAACGACTTGACAAACTCGCTCCTCAGAGCGCTAAGCGCGCCAATCAGAGCGGTGCCCGGGCTGCGCGATTTTTCATATCTCCCGGACCGGCCAGTCCGCGCCGGTCCATTTTTCTGGGCCGGTGCCACGTCGCCTCCGGCCGGCCTGGCCCGGCCTCGCGCGGGGCTGACGCGCATTTATTTCGTCCGTTCAGGGACCCATATTACAGGGCCTGACAGAGACGGAGCACTAGCAGGGGAATCGGCGGGAGGCAGCATGAGCGCGGATGCAGCTGGCGGCGGATTAGGTCTCCAAGGCGTGCCGCGTGCGCCGCGTGCGCCGCGTGGCGCACACTAGCGGCGGAAATTAACAGACAGCGAAAGCACTGCGAAGGCGTGGCGAAATCGGGACTGTGGCGAGAGTGAGACCGTGGTGAGAGCAGGGATGAGAGTGAGAGCTTGAATGAGAGTAAAAGCGTGGCGAGAGCATGGATGAGAAAGAGAGCGTGGTGAGAGCATGGACAGGATCGAACAGGCCAGGGCAGACAGGCAGAAAAATCTGCCGGGGCATTCGAGTTTGGGACCAGTAACGTCACAAAGTTGGTCAAAAAGTGATTGAATCTCCGAAGGAACGAAAGTAGCCGTTTTCGCTGAATTTGAGCGGCCACTGTGTCCGATCTAGTTGCGGCCAACGGCCTCCCTCGACGACCTAGTATTCTTAAGACCCTACTCTTTCATGCCCTGTATCGGGAAGACGTTGACCACAACGATTTAGCCTTTGACCGCAACGATTTCGGGACCAAAGTTGATCAAAAAGTGGTCGAATCTCGGAAATTTGCTGATTTTGCTGACTTTGGGCGGCCACTGTGTCCAATCTAGTTGCCGCAAAAGGCCTCCCTCGACGCCCTAGTATTCTTAAGACCCTACTCTTTCATGCCCTGTATCGGGAAGACTTTGACCACAACGATTTAGCCTTTGACCGCAACGATTTCGGGACCAAAGTTGATCAAAAAGTGGTCGAATCTCGGAAATTTGCTGATTTTGCTGACTTTGGGCGGCCACTGTGTCCAATCTAGTTGCCGCAAAAGGCCTCCCTCGACGTGCTAGTATTCTCAAGACCCCCCTCTTCCATGCCCTGTATCGGGAAGGCTTTTGACCGCAACTAGTTTGTGAGCGGTAGCCTCACAAAGTTGGTCATGACGGGTAAAAACGATGATGATCGGGGGCCTTTTGCGGTCTTATCCGCCGGGGCGGTTTCGGGGCCAGTCCGAGCCTGAGCATGGATGAGATTGAGAGCGTAGTGAGAGCATGAGAGTGAAAGCGTGGTGAGAGCATGGATGAGAGTGAGATCGTGGCGAGAGTGAGAGCGTGGTGAGAGCGCGCTACAAAGCTGGGAGCGCTCCAATATGGAAGCACTTTGGCACCTTTGTTGTTCCATCTGCAGCGTGCCGAGTGTGTGCGGGACAGGAGGATAGGGGGACAGGGGGGGGGGTGCAGATTGAAGGCAACAGGACGGAGTCATGGCCAAGGCGGCCAAGGCAGCCAGAGGAATAAAGGAACAGGCAGCCAGCCAAGGCCTTGGAGTCAGGGACTGCGAGGGCCCGAAGGGGTGGGGATGAGCAGGCCGGGAAATACGTGATCTGCCCTCCATAAATATTTCGTCTTCAAATGGGAACCGGCGGGGTGTGCAAAGTGGTAAGATATTTTTTCGGCTGTGGCGCGATGTGGCCGGGGGATGGCCGCAGGGGATGGTGCGCCAGCTCAGCCCATCCTTGCCGGGGTCGCGCGTCCCGGCGACGCCCGGCGGGGGAACGGGAAACGTGCCTGCAGCCGCTGCACACCGGGCCGCGGCTACGATTTGAGCATAATAAGAACGACTTTTAAAGGGAGTGAGTTTCTGGAATGACCCGGTGCTACGCGGCTACCCCCAAGCACCCCCAAGGCCACGCCCGGCGCCGCGCTCGCCCCGTTTCCATTCTATCTGCGACGTCATCGCCACTCGGCCGCGCCGCTTTGCCGCTTTGCCGCTTTGCCGCGCCCCGCGGTGGGTAAGTGGTGCAATTTGTACCGGGCTCTCTTTCGCCGTTCGCACCCAGCGGCCAGCGGCTGCCAGCAGCCAGGCCCGCGGGAGCGTTTTGCGTTTCGCGCGCGCCACCGTCGGGAACACGGCGAGCTCGGTGAACACGGTGGTGCGAACCGTTCGCCCCAGCGCGCCCATTGCGCCCATTTGCGTCACTGTATCGGCCGCTTTGAAGTGTGCTTCCGCCTGGCCGCTCACCGTCACCGTGCTCTTGTTGTGCTTGCAGGTGCCATGCGGCATCTCCCCGACCTCCCCGCCCCGCCGGGCGTCGCGGCGCCATGAGCCCCGCGGGGTGGCGGGGGCCGCGGAGGAGGGGCAGGCCCCACGGCGGGCCTCATGGCGGGCCGTGCTCCGCCGCGGTGCTGTGGAGCCTGCTGGGGTTGCTGCTCCTGCTAGGCGGCTCCGCCAGCGCGCCGCGGCCCGCCAGCCAGGAAGCCAGCCAGGCCACCAACCACGCCGTCGCCGAGTCAGACGGAGCCGTCCCGGGCGTCCCGGGTGACCACCGCACGTGGCCGTACCTGACGACGTCGCGGCCCGAGTCGCTCATCGGCCCCGGCGACATCCGCGGAACGGTGCAGCGCATGTCGCCGTCGGACGGCACCAAGCGGCGGCGCCCGAAGCTTCAGGAGCTGGCTCTGGAGCTGCAGCTCCTGCAGCAGCAGCAGCATGCGTCGTCCACCAAGCCGACGCCTACCCCCAAGCCGACGGCCGCCCTCAAGCCGACGGCCACCTCCAAACCAACGGCCGCCCCCAAGCCGACGCCTTCCTCCAAACCAACGGTCGCCATCAAACCTTCGGACACTTCCAGACACACGTCCACCTTCCAGCCGACGGCCTTGACGGTGGCCTCGCGGTCCAGCGCCGAGCAGCTGCGCGCACTGCCCAAGTCCACCAGCTCCGCCGAGCCGGCCACCGGCGGGCCCGCCACCACGCCGTCCAAGACCTTCCTCGAGGACATCAACAACCTGATCGAGAACCTGCCGGAGAAGCACGTCGACGTGTCCGTCCGGGACTCGCACGTCGTGACCGCGGGGGCCGGCGGCTACGGCGAGATGGACGAGGAGGAGCAGCCGTCGTACGAGGCGGAGGACATGTACGGCCCCAACAAGAGCCACGTGGACCTGGTGAACCGCTTCCTGCGCATCGTCGAGTCGCAGCACCTGCTGGGCGAGAACTGCACCGCCGGCACCGACCTCAACCTCGGCGAGGGCGTGGTGGACCGCTACGCGCAGGTCAGTGTCACTTTTACTTCTCGCTTTTCTTTCCCGCGACACTGCGCGTCGTTAGAGTTGGAGTTCACTGCACCGGCGGCGACGAATGCCGCCTTTTGAGCCGCGTGCTGTAAGAGTTACCACCCCTGCCGGCCCCCACCGCCAAGACCGCGCCTTTGAAGTCCGCGTGGTGACGTCATCGTCAGCCCGACACCTCTCTCTTTGGCGTGGGCGTCGCGCACGCACGCGCCGTGGCGGTGGCCGCGGTGGCGATGAGGGCCTCGTTGAGGGTCTCGGTGTCGTCGTCCCTGATTCTGTCTCGCGGCGTCGCTTCTTTGTCGGCGTGCACGTTGCCGTTGGCGGTCGACGACGAGGGTGCGGTCGCCGCCCAGGCCTCCCGGGCGCTCCTTCCTCCACTGCAGGGACGTGCTCCGTCACGCCGCGCCATTTACCCGGCCATTCATTCGCGAGCCGATATCGCCCCGTCCGGGACGGCCCGGACGGCGGTCGGGACGGCGGCCTGCACGAGGGCCTGGAGGTGCGGACCGCATAAATACGCCGCGTCATCGCGGTGCTGGCGGCCCGGCGGCCCGGCCGTGCCGTCCTGCCGACTCCGCGGAGCTCCACGCTCCTAATTACGGCCCAGTCGACGGCGTTTCATAAATAGTGGCCTCTTAATCAATTTCGGCGGAACAGCACGACGAGGAATTTGGGCGCTTGCTTCGCGTGCTCGGCGTGCTGCGGTCCTTTGGCGGGATGTTTCCATTAGTCGCGGAGGGCGTCAGAGGGACGCGAGGGCAGGAGGTCGCCCGAGTCCACTCAGCGTGACGTGACACTTGAACGACTAAGTTAAGGGTGAGGGGCCGCCCTCGGCGCCTGAAGGCCCGAAGGCCCGAACAACACGCCGCGTCGCGCCGCGCGGTGCCTGTCTGTCTCTGTCTTATCTCGCCATTACTGGCCTCGATGAGAGCGCCCGCCGCCCGGCCCTGGAGATCGCTCCCCTGATTACAAATTGAATCACGATGCCGTTCGCCGAAGGGAGATTTGGGGAGGGGGGAGTGTCACCCAGCCCGCGGCTGCTATTGCACTGAAAGGACTTTGGCTGACATAAAACCCGCGCGGGCGCACGGAGAGGGGGCGAGGCACGGCCTGGCTGACACCGGCGCCCTTTAAATAGAAAAGCCCTTTCGCACCTGCTGGTATTTGAACCCGGGCCCGGGCGCGTGCGACCGCGCTAGCCATAAAACGGCACCTTTCAATCTACGCCGTGATTTTCTCCCCCCCCCCCTTCCCCCCGAGTCCCCCGACCCTCGCATCCCCGCAACTTATCGCGCAACGACCCATTTGCCGGGCCGGCCGGGACGCAGGGCGAGGCCCAGGGCGAGGCGCAGGGCGTAGGGCGGGGACACATGCCGCCCTTTTCGGCCAGCCGGCACTTAGACGTGCTTTCGGACCTTTTAGACGCCGTGGCGTGCCGTGGCGTGCCGCGCCGTGCGGGGGGAATTGGGCTGGGTACAGCCGCACGCACAGCCCGGCCGCGTCCGAGACGCCTCCCAAGACGCCACCCAGGCCTGGCCGTCGCCGTGGAGGCCGTCTCCGTCCGGGCGGCACCCTGCAGCGCCGCTGCCCTCCACCACCCGCTCCGCGCTCCGCCCCAGCCTCGACCTAGAATCTTTAATGGCGGTCGAGGCAATGCGTTCGTTTAACTCTATTTGAGAGAAACACGATCCGGACCGCACTAACTTGCCTCGGAGGAGAAGTACCAACGAGCAGAAGGGAGCAGAAGGGGGCGCTGGCTCCGCCGCCGACCCAGCCCAGCCCCGCCCCGCCCCGAGGCTGCAGCCTGCACTGCAAGCCCGCCGACTTTTTGATTGTAGATGGACCACTGGAAGCAGCGCACGGACGCGCTTGGGACTTCATCGGGCGGGAAGAACGGGACAGTTGTTGATCGCAGTCTGATGTAAACAGTGCCGCGGACCTTCCGGCCCGGAGGCGCTGGCGGCAGGAGCGCCTCTGGCTAACAAAGTCTGGCGAGGAAGTAAGGCGGGGCGGGGTGCGTCCTGCCTCTACTCATTTCACACTTGGCCAGGCCCAATTAGGAAACGCGTCCGCCAGACTAACAGTGTAAAAACGGCGGGGTTGCTGACCCCCCCCCCACACACACACACACGGACGCGCGAACACGCACACACTCTCTCACGCGCGCCTAATGATTACCAGTCAATGCCCGCCGGCGCCACGTTCCGGGATAAGGGGATTACATGTCCGTCTGTTGGGACGGTTCCTGGATGTGGTGTGTGTTTAAGGTGCTGATTGGCGAGCCTGCAGCGCGCGCACACACACACACACACACACAAAGGCTAACGCACACAAGGCACCCTGGTGGTGGAGCGGTCGAGTGCCGCGTCGCCTGGTCGTCGTCTGCAGGCTGGAGAGCGTCCAGGGACCGCCAGACGCGAAATAATTAAAGTCCCACAAAACGCCGCCAGGGGGAGGGAGAGGTCGTCGCGCAGTCGCGCGGTCGCGCCGCAAGAAATATTGGGACACGAAGGATGCGGCGCTGGGAACGCCGTGGAAGGGACCCCCGTGGACAGGCAGCCATCCGCAGCCCTTGCCGCAGCGCGGCGGCCAGGCCGGCCAGCGTGCCGAGCAGCGAGCGTAGCGAGTGCATGGCGCGGTCGCCCGCCGCCGTTTAACGCTCGGTTGGCTTCACCCTCTCGGGCCAAAGTCGTAAAAAGCTTTCGGCATACAGCACCACAAATCTCCCCGGACTGTTCTTTTTAATTTCCTGTGTGGCACTGTCCCGCTGGCGCGGTGCGCTGCTCGGGTCCACCCGCCGCGCCGCGCCGCCGTCTCACTGTGCACTTGAGTGTCGGCCTGTGGCCCCACGACGGCGGCCCCCCCGAGACGATCCCCGCCCCGTCCCTCCATTGTGCCGTTTTGCTTAATCGGCAGATTGCGCTGCCTGGCGCCGCCCCGACTACCCGGCCGCCTCACCGAAACCTTTCAGCCCCACAACACCGCCCTGCCACGCCGTGCCTGCCATGGCCCCCGAGACGCCACCGCCGACCCTGGCTTTCGATCCTTTCTTCCACCGCCTCGGTCCTCAACGTCATGAGGCCGGCCAGGCAGCCATGGACCACTATACGGCCCCGAATCCGCCCCGCCGTGCCGTGCCGTGCCGTGCCGAGCCGAGCCGAGCCGCCGAATCGCCAACTCATCAAAGCCGAGCGAATCAAGTGGGGCGCAGGGCCTGGCCCGGCCGGTTTGTTAGTGGATAGGCTGGCTGGACGGGTTAGGCTGGCCCCCCCATGGGGCAAAACTTGCGCCCTTCCGATAGTACGGTTTTACAGTGCGTCGGTCAGTGATGGAGCGCCGTCGTTGTGTTTGACTTGGAAGGCTTTGCGCATTTTAAGTAGCGGCTGGGCCGGTTCGGGACGATCGGCCCGCAAAGCCCGAGGCAAAGCCCATGCAGGCTCCGTTCCACTCCGTTCCTCCAGCCCGCCGGCCGTCGGCCTGTTTGCAGTGCTTTCTAATGGCCGGGGCTTTAATGAAGCAGACGCGCGCATCTGCTTCAAGATTAACAGCGAGCATATCGCACAGCCCGAGCGGCCAGCCGAGGCGCCGCCAGGGACAGGCCCGGCCGGGGCGGAGGAGATGTGGCGGCATTTTTATGGGAGCTGTTTTGCTGTGAGCGCACTGCCAATTCCGGCACTAATTCGTCCCGCCTTTTATCGCCCGTCCCGCACTAAACATGACAAAACTACGGAAAGTTTATGGCGAGGTCGAATCGCTCTGACCGCTGCAAATATGGCTTGGTTTCAGGAGCGCTTCCGCGTGGAGGCCGACGTGGCGGTGAACCGCGCCAACATGCTGACCCGCCTGTGGAAGTACGCCGGCGCCGAGGTGCTGCACTCCGAGTACCTGCTGCACGCCGCCGTGTTCGCCATGGTGGAGTTCGACGACGACATCTTCGCGGCCGGCAACTGCTACGACGCCTACCAGTACAAGGACTACGAGCTGTTCTGCCCCTTCGCCTACCGCCTGCCGGACGGCCCCATCCTCGTCAAGGACCTGGCCGTCGAGTACAAGTACTTGGGCAACTCGTCCGAGTGGTTCTTCATCGCGAGGAAGAACGCGGAGCGCGTCATCCACAACTACAACCAGTTCAGCCGAGGTGAGTGTGTTCTCTTTTTCTCCCTCTCCCGCCGCAACCGGCGCCGCCCTCCCCTTCCACTTGACTTGAAAATTAATAAGGGCCGTCCTGTAAAAGTTGCGACGTTTGTTAGAGTAATGAAGGCCGCGTTGCGAGACGAGGGCTGGGCCACCACGCCGCCGCCAAGCCGTCGCCGGAGAGTGGCGCTCCACTGTTTTTCAGTCGCTGTTCATTTAATCTCTGTCCCATCGGCGCGTGTGCAGCCGCCTGGCCTGCACGGCGCCGCGTTTCGCGGCGAAACCGAAACCCAACACACTTGACGCGCGGCGCCGGGGCCCTCCACGAGCTTCCCGCCGCTTGCGTGCGTTCCATTTCCGTTTGTAAACAAGGGATGGCTTGCGAGGCGGAGCGGAAAATGGCCGCGAGAGGCCGAAGGATCTTTGAGGAGCTTGTCGAGGATGAGACGCTGCTCGGAGAGGACGAGGACGGCCCACGGCGTGCCCAGGGCATGCCCACGGCACTCGGCAGGTGGTGTGCCGGACGCCGGCCCGTCGGCCCATTCCCATTTTGCGATTGCGAGGCGCCCCGCCCGGCTCTTGGCGCGCAAAGGAAAACCAAAGGGAAAAGAGATAAAACCAACGCGTTTTCGCTACTCCACCACTCAAGAGGAATTAAGAGCTGAGGGCCGTGGAAAATGTTTTAACAATTACAGCGTGCTGCCGGCGCTCCCCGCCGGTTTGAGTGACGCCGGATTGTCTTTTGGCCCAACTCTTTAAGACGAGCAGGGCACGCCTCCTTTGAATTGTAAGATTAAAGCATTATGAAACGCCAACTCCAGCCTTTTCATACGCGCAAGATCATTTTTTTCGTCCCACAGCGACACGGCGGAAAGGGCCAAACCGCACGAAAAAATATAATTGGCGGCACAAAGGAGGCTCGCTAAGGCGCTGCGCGCTACGCACGGTGGATTCCCTTACTTTTAACAATCTCTTTCTCTCTGGCTCTGCGGAGGCGAGGCTGGGCTGGCTCTGACACGGACCTGAGTAAAACTTTAAGAAAATTTGTCAGAGATGAACAACAGAGAGGCTTCTTCTCTGTTGACCAAGAGGCTGGAGACGACTGGCGCTGCCGCGCCGCCTCCACGCCACTGATTGATGTGACGTCCAATCTATCGTATTGCCAGCCCGCAATCACGGGATGGCCCGCCAAGGCAGCCAAGGCCCGCCACGCTGGAGCCTCGGTGTTTCCAACAACCAAACGAGGCAAACCTGTTTTCTCAAACTGGCCGTGCCATTGCGCTCCTCGGTGGACCTCGGTACCTCAATTTTCCCTTTGTTTTTCCGACCGGGCGAGGGAGATGTGACGAGCCGGGCCAAGGCTCCGCAGGCTGGCGCAGGCTGGCGTCGAAATAAATGCCTCATTTGCAATCTAGCGGAACGACCCCGCCCGTCATTATCATTCTTCTCGATACTGGAAGACCAGCCACCCCATCAAATCTGGAGCAAATTGCCAAACTGTCCGTTACGGCTGGTTTCCCTAGTTACTGCTCTGTAAAACGAAGGACCACCCCACCCCTATCCAGACCAAGGTCGCGGCTTTTTTGGTCAGCGCAACATTTCACGGTGTCCCTGCTGGTTCTTTTCACGAGACACACCACATCGTGTCTGTCGCGTCGAGGACTCTGACCAAGTCTGACCATTTATTTGATGGAACAGATTTTTCTCGATGCAAATTTAACCGTGAGAAGTCGATGAACTGAATGATTTTAAAAGATAAAAATCATACCGCAGTCAGAATCGGTCAGAATCCTTTTCAGTTGATAGATCCATTAGGTCACCGCGGGGCACATTTTGACGCCACCCCGTCTTGCTGGCTGTGACTTTGCCGCCGTTGCGGAATATGTGATGGGTGAGGCGTGCAGGCGCTGCATTTAAGGTGGCATTTTGGCCGTCTGTTTCCCCCAAACGGCGGCCACAACTCCACGGCCGCGTCGTTTGCAAGCACCCCGGAGTCTCCGGGTACCTCCGGCCTGGAGCCTCCAGCCTGGAGCGCGCCACTGTTAAGTAACGCAAGCCTCGCCACGCCGTTCGTCACGCCGGTTTTTGCCGGAACCCGACGAGAGCGCGCACTCGCGCCGAAAATTGCACCGCGGCACGGTTCCGACAAGTCATTTCGTCGCTCTGTCTCTCTCACGCCGTTACGGGCAGTCGCCTGAGCGTGACAGACCAGATGAGTGACGAAACGCCTCTCCACCGAAATCAGTCTCCCATGCCAGGGAAATGAGAGTCCGCTCTGAAAATCCAACTTGAGCGCCGACCGAATGGTGGGACGCCTAGCCAGCCGGTCAGAACACAAGCTGACTGTGCGGCAGACCGCGCATTTGGAACTCGAGCACGCGAGCCCGACCGGCGTGGTGCGCATGGCAGCGGGCCGGTCACACGGACAACTTCCCCCGCACTCGTGCACGCGGCACGCCGAGCGACACGCGTTGTCGGTCCCTTTCAGTGTGCGACAAGCCGCGCTGACACGGCCCGGCTGCTGCGCACGCTGCGCGCCGAGCTGCGCGCGCTGCAAATAGTAATGACAGTGCAGTCAGCACCACTCCCCGGCCTGCTGACGACTGCGGCGTGCTTTCGGACCGCTCGTGGGGGTTCGACAGTATTTCCGTGCCTTCCTTGCCGGGCGCGTGGCAGTTTCACCACCAGCATCCCCCCGTTGTCGGAGGGCACGATTGCCGGCGTGCCGCTGCATATCGTCACTCTTCCAGAGGACCTTCGCGCGGTTCTCCGAGTTGATCGTGCGGGGCTTCCAAGTTATTCCTCCCGAGTCACTTCTGATCGAGCACGTCGCCGTCGCCACGCCGCGGCGTATTGTGACCTCCACGTCACGCCCAGCCGCGGCACTGGCGTACACGACGACGACGAGGAGGTGGCAGCAGAATGGATGATGATGGAGAGGCGAAAATAGGAATAGGCCCCCGGCACGGTCCTTGGCTTTCGCGGCGTTCTGGACGGTGAGGACAGTGAGGACGACGAGGACGGTGAAGGCGGGGGCGACGGCAACGGCGGAGCGACGAGGACGACGGGGAGGGCGCCATGCAGCCCGGCGGCGTTGACAAATAAGGAAAAATCAGAATCAAGTGCTTTTGCTTTACTGGTCGGTGTCGGTGTGTGTGTGAGAGAGTGGCTGTGTCACTGTGAGTGTGTTTTAATGGCTGGATTTGTGCTATCTGCTCGTGTGTGTGTGTGTTTTGTTGACTCTGTGGGTATGATATGATGGGAGCTGCGGAACCGAGATAAATGGCCCATGAAAGGAGCGCCTCGCAAAAAGACCAGCAGTCGGCGACTCGGCCACGGGAAAGGCACACAGACCTTGTCACGAAGTCCAGTCGTCAGGGACCGAGCCAAGGCAGAGCCAAGGCAGAGCCAAGGCAGTGGGGGGCCCGCAGGCACGCGGGCCCGCAGCACGCACTCGCTGGCCTGCCGCAGCGATAGAAGCAAGCAAGTAGCCTCCGGGTGCCTCACTGCCTCCACCGCCCCGGGATGGCTACCCGAAAGGACTCACCCGGGACTCGGCCGCCGCAGGCTACCGCAGGCCGGGCGCTGCAGGGCCCGCCTCACGAGGAGGTATCCCACACCCCTTCCCATCCGTTCCACTTAGAGAGAGGTACCTTGTCGCTGGAGCTGGAGTTCTCGTGCTCCTCGTGCGATCGCTTCGCCTGCCATGTGCTGTGCTGCCTCCAGGCCGCCGTCCTTCCCAAGGGTGAGATTCATACGGTGGCGTTGCCCTTGCCTTGGCTTGCCGTGCAGGTTCGTCCCCACGTGAGTTTGGTCCCAGCCGGCGGCCCGCACTACTCCGTGCGGGTCAACACACACGCCGGCGCGCGGTGCGCAGGGCACCTCGTGTGCCCCGGACGACGTGCTCGCCGGAGTGCAGCAGTGCGCGTCGGTAAGGAAAAGGACGGAGGGCAATGGAATATGCAGAGCAGTGGAGGGAGGGGGACGGGGCGACGCACCGAGGCCGGGGCGCAGCGGAGCGTCAGCCGGCCAGGTTTGGCTGCATAAAGGCGACGTCTCGCAGGGAGGGGGTAATGCGGTAAGCAAAGGTTGAAAGGGCGAGACTGTAAAACGCCGAGAGGTTCGTGGGGCTGGCGGCGGCCGGGGCGAAGCGGCAGAAGGTGAGGGTCAAGTCAACGGAATCTGAATTTACAACTACCCGAGCACGCGCCGGGGTGTCGGGGCGTCGGGGCGTCGAGCCACCGTGCCATCTGCAGAGGCCGCTCATCAGCGCGCTGGGGCACCATGGCCACCATGGGAGCCAAACTCAAAATGTCTGCTGACTCGCTTGAATACCTACTGCCGCTTTCTTTTTTTTCTGAACGCGGCTGTCGAAGTGCCGGTAATAAGTCGTGGCAAATTGGCAGCGAGTGCCAGCGCTGGTGACGAACAGCGCCATGAAGCCCCGCCGCAGCGCCCCAGCATCGCGAACAAAGGCGGGACGCGGTGACGTGGCGTCCGTGGCGTGGCCGGCGTGGGTCGGCGACGGGTCCATCGAGGCCGGACGGGACGGCCCAGCCGGTCCCTTGATAGCCGTCATTAACGCGTCCAAAGTCGCCCCGCACTGCACTAGATTAAATGGGTGAAGCGAGGGCGGGGCGCGGCGGGGCGAAGCCACAACGGGCAGCTCGGGCGGAACGCGCGTGCCGCGAACACGCCGCCGACAACGCACGGCAGCGACACGGCCCCACCGCCCCGGGGGCCCCGGGCATAGGCAGGCACATTCGTGTACAACTTGGCAAAGTGCGGGGGCAGGGCACGGTGTGGCGCGTCAGGGCATGGCGCGGCAGGGCGGGGCGTGGCGTGGCGGCTGGGCGGGGATCAACGCGCTTCCCGCGGCCTCGCCAAAAGCTCCGTGAATCTCCCCGACCGTCTGCCGAGGCGCCCTGAAACGAAGAGGAATGGCAACGCCCCTCCCGTCCCTCTCCCTTTCCCTCCAAGTTTTCCCAGACGCCAAATCCTTTT